ATTAATATATATTTCGAATATAAAAAACTGACCAAAACTACATTCATCCAATGTTAAAAAAATGTCCATAGCACGTAAATCCATATTATATTAATATTGAAATATTTTCAAAGAATATTCTATGAACCTCTGTGCTATATATTTGTGCTGTCTGGGTTGGTTGTTCTTTTTATCGTTACGAAGAGTAGATAATTCCTGCGAATAATTTGTTGTTAATTTTTTTTAAGACTACCATGTAAGCTGAGGCTGTGGATATGCATCGACGTAGACGACCCATTGGACCCGGTCTCCGTACTTCCGCTGGTAATGTCTGTCCTCATCTTGCGAGGTCAGATTAATGTACTTCACGTCTGGATCTTGATTATAGAAAGAAAAAGTAAAAATATGAACAACGTGAACTCGTCAGAGTTTTACAGGCGGAGGTAATTTCAATTTACCGTATACTATGATGAATTTCGAGGTTCTCTTGCTGTCGTAAAACGTTGTGATTATGCAAGTATATTCGCCCTCGTCATCGTCGGTGATATCATTAATGATTAATTCACTGGTGGTGCGTTGCATATTGGCGCCTATGGTTCTCCTGTACTGCCTCGTTGTTATTCTGCTACTCTACAATAGGAATAAGATTCATTGTACAAAATGTTAACCATTAGGAAATGTTTCCTTCATTTTCAGGCGCGGCAATGGCTGCACGCACGCATTTCCTTAGCTGATCGTTGACATTTTTCATGTCGTTCAATACACTGATTGGTAAGAGCAAATTGACAGTGCAACACCCCGTACGAGAAATTCGTGGGAGCCGTTCGCGAAAAAGTTGTCATCGGTTTGTACGGCGAGATCGGCGTTTCTCGCAAACGAATGGCCCGTATTCGATTTCGTTCAATACACTGATTGGTAAGAACAAATTGACAGTACAGCACCCCGTACGAGAAACTCGTAGGAGCCGTTCGCGAAAAAGTTGTCATCGGTTTGTACGGCGAGATCCGCGTTTCTCGCAAACGAATGGCCCGTATTCGATTTCGTTCAATACACTGATTGGTAAGAACAAATTGACAGTGCAGCACCCCGTACGAGAAACTCATGGGAGTCGTTCGCGAAAAAGTTGGGAAAGAGGATACTCCCGAGCAGTTGGTAAGGCTCCTGGATATCTCGGAACAATTGCGCAAACGTTTGTGGTCTCCGAAAGAGCAATATCTGGTCCAATCGAGGATTTCCGCAGGTCGAGACCGCAATTCGTCATGCGCCTGCTTACGCTTAAATAATTCCCACCAGTATCCTAATTTTTTTTTCTTAATAAGGAAGAATTTACCCTCTGAGGCGTGCTCCAATTGAAGACGTACTGTATGTCCGCGTCCACGTCGATTGTACAATTGACCCGTAATTCTTGACCCCTTGTAACGTGCCTCAAAGTGTCCTCGTGGATCTTCGGCTCGTTGAGGTTCTGCTTCCCTGAAGAGAGATTTATTTTATCATCTCGCTTTCCTCCAATTTCTCAGATCTCTCGACCGTTTAATGTACTCACTGACGATGAGTAGGTGATAATTGAGTTCGTGGACCTGGTCCTCGTCTTTGATCGTGCACTTGTAGTACCCACTGTCCTTCAGGGTAATTTCCTTCATGACGAATCCAACCTTCGGGTCGAAGGAAACTCGGTCGTCGAGCTCGACTTCCTGTGCGGAACTTATACTCAATACTCTCTTAACGTTATATTAAATATTATAAGGGCCTTATTAATATTTAACTTTTAGCGTTGAGCTCGACTTCCTGTGCGGAACTTATACTCAATACTCTCTTAACGTTATATTAAATATTACAAGGTCCTTCCTAATATTTCACTTTTAGTGTTGAGCTTGACTTCCTGTGCTGAATTTATACTCAATACTCTCTTAACGTTATATTAAATATTACAAGGTTCTTCCTAATATTTCACTTTTAGCGTTAAGCACGACTTCCTGTGCGGAACTTATACTCAATACTCTCTTAACGTTATATTAAACATTATAAGGTCTTTACTGTTTCAGCAGACTCTGAACTTTTGGCACACAAAAAAACGCATGCGCGGAACGCAGTCGTCAAATTTTTCTGACATTGTCGTATTACATTATGTCAAAGCGGCCTTCTAATTAAAAGCGGCTATAAAAGAAAGTATGGGTATAGCGTCTTTCAGCTTGGTCCGATCATCGTTAACTAAAAGACGTTTAAAAGCGCTGCTAAAAGTGAGATATGAGTAAGGGCATAAATTATCAAAGTATAGGCTACATGTTTCAGTACTTACACTGTCGTCGTTACCAATAAGGACGACTGGATAATTCGGCGAAGTTGGGCGACATGGAATTATCGCAGAACCACCGGAGACCTCGCGCAATGAAATGAAAGTATCCACTTGCGCGAAGACGCTGTTATTTGCTGTAATTAAGGTATAATATAAGGTATAATATAATATAATTAATATATTAAGGTATAATATTGGATAGCGTCAAAGGACGTAACGTTTTTCCGACGGGGAATTCAAATGCTGCCAGAAAGATGGGCAAAAGTAGTGTCCAGTGATGGGCAATACTTTCAGTGACGTATTTTGTACCACATACTTTAAATAAAGCATTAATTTTCACAAAAAAACAGCGAGAACTTATTCAAGGTCCTAATATAAGATAAGCCAATATATCTGTGAGAAGTCAAATCGTTGGGGAAAGTATTCTCCGAATTGGATGTACCGATTCGTTTCAAATTTTACCACGGGAATATGGAGGCCCTAAAGTAGATCCCGAAACTCAGGAAATTTAATTTTTCATAAAAAATTTATTTATTTATTAAGGACCTGAACCAACATGGCGCGGTCCGTGCAAGTTTTTGATGTTTTACGCTTCTTAGGGGCTTAGAATAAAAAATGAAGAGTTTCAGGACCTACCTCAAACAATTTAGAATACCGTAGAAATGGAATATTACGGAGTCAGATGGGAAAGTATGGAAAATACTCTTTCACCAACGATTGCAAGAGAATACTGGCTTGTCCCGGGGCTAACGCGGGTTTTTAGAGAAAAAATTTAGTTGCAGCTAAACGTCACAGATGGCGACGTTGGTTCTAAACGGTCGTTAGAATAATGAATTCCCGGGATTTCGACAGTTTTACGTCGATCTCTTCGTCATTACTTCACTGAAATGAGACATGGAACGTTTCAGTTCGTACAATTATCAACGTAGACAGTAAAACACTTCAATATAAACATAAATATCGGTTACGTGATGCGCCAGCTTATATTCCCACTTGCGTATTCAAAATGACGTTCCCACCAAAAAGGGCATAGATGAATTTTAATTTATCCACCTCGATTAATTATCTCGGAGCCTTTCACATTATCTTAAACGCCATATAGTAGATACTTTTCCTTATTTCTTAGGCCAACTTACATGTCACATAAACGTAGATCCATCTGACGTCTGGTTCGTCATGTTCCTCATTATTAATGATAACGTCTTCTTCGGCACAACCATACCACCCAGTGTCTCCAAACAGGGTTTCAGTTCGACGGAATATTGCTTCGTAGCCATATTCGACCTCTCTTTGATTCACTTCCGGGGTGGAAGTGGTAATCTGGGGTAAGAACATTTTTAAAAATATTAACTTAAATGCATTCCGAGCGCCAAGGAATTATTTTATATTATTAAGAAATTCGGTAGAGTTTCGCGCCAAATATATATATAGTAATTATCCACGATGTTCAGCCTGGCGTGTCAAATTGGACAATGAATGTCGTTTGTTGAACCTCTTGAATGAGTAAAGTCAACTTTAATAAGCCCATCGAGAGTGGGCGATTTTTCTGCGTTTTTTTAAGCTATCAACGAAACCGATTGGTCCATTTAATACAGAGATGTGCATTTTTTAATATTGTTTGTCTATGATGTTTGGAATTTCAACCTACATTTGCGTGTGCATTTTATAATACTGTTTGTCTATGATGTTTGGAATTTCAACCTACATTTGCGTGTGCATTTTTTAATATTGTTTGTCTATGATGTTTGGAATTTCAACCTACATTTACGTGTGCATTTTTTAATATTGTTTGTCCATGATGTTTGGAATTTCAACCTACATTTGCGTGTGCATTTTTTAATATTGTTTGTCTATGATGTTTGGAATTTCAACCTACATTTGCGTGTGCATTTTTTAATATTGTTTGTCTATGATGTTTGGAATTTCAACCTACCGCTTCTTCTACATCTTTAGGATAGACGAATTTCAGTTGCCTCGGGCTGAAACAGTTCAACTCCAGTTGAGACCCTTCGGGGATTTGGATCTCGTCCGCTTCCGGTTTCATCTTTGGTTTCTCCCCCGAGCCGCCTGCAAAATAAATTCGAAGTTAATTCCCTTGATCGTTCCAGGGTCCACGTTCTCCCCGCAGCGTTTCCGCAGCGTACAGGGAAATCATTTTATCTCGCTAGGAAATGAGTTATACGGTTTCGTGATCTCCTGATAACGAGGACGCATTGCCTCCAGTTTGTACGCGGTTAAAATGGCATTTATAGCAAATAATGGAAACGCAAGAACCTCAATTGTCGGGATTGAATTCCCTCTTGTTCAGCAGAATACATGAAAAGATTATTTATTGTTTTAGTGAAACTTCTTGTGTTACTGTAAACTTACTCTAGAAGTGTAAATTCGCATGTTAAGAAAAGGAAGCGAAACGGAAAGTGAAACATTAATTTCAATTCATTTCCTTTTTCATAGTTAATTTCTATTTATATTCATCTTGTGTGTTTTTTTTTAATATTTCCTGGCGAATACATTATAAACGTTTGAAAAATATTTAGCAGACATGAAGACGCTGTTATTTGCTGTAATTAAGGTATAATATAAGGTATAATATAATATAATTAATATATTAAGGTATAATATTGGATAGCGTCAAAGGACGTAACNATATGTCATTGAGATTTCCAACAAATATTTTAGATATCTTCGCACGAAATCTACGAGACATCTTAAAACATCCGTCGTTTGACATATTTAGCAAAAATTACAAACAAATATTTAGAAATTATTCTATGCTACTAGGGTAACGAAAACATTCCCTAGTAGCATAGAATAATTTCTAAATATTTCTTTGTCATCTTTGCTAAATATCTCAAGCGACAGATTTTTTAAGATTTCTTGTAGAATTCATTCGAAGATATCTGAAATATTTGTTGAATATCTCAATGACATATTTAGTTTCAATAATCTATAAACATACGGAGAAATTATATTTCTTAGCTCGTGAACATAATAAAAATACATTTTTTACTTCACGACTATTATCGGACACTTCATTTGTTATCAAATAACACGGGAAATTTTTCTAATATTTTCGTTCCGCTATTTCATTACGGGAGCAAAACGCGTGATTTTGATTTTAAATATTTTTAAAACGTTTGCAATGTATTCGGCAGATAATATTTAAAAAATACTTGTATTAAAATGAAACGAAATGTTTCGTATATCTGGTAGAAAAATATTATGAAAACACATGGAGCTAATATCATATAAATATTATAGAGATAATATTCTAAAGTAAACGTTTTGCAAAAATATCAAATGTCAGGTAAATATTTACCAAATGTCCGATATTCGTTAAATATATAGAAAATATAGGACAAATATTTCGTGCCACTAGGGATTTACGCAGATTGTCCGAATACTAACACACAAAGATGAATATAAATAGAAATTAGATGTGAAAAAGGAAATGAGTTAAAATTAATGCTTCACCTTTCGAGATATTTAGCAGAGATAAAAAAATATTTAAAAATTATTCCGCGCTACTAGGGAACTTATGGATCGACCCGATAAATTTTTGCGGCCTTTCCGCGGTTAAATAAATATTTAACCTGGGACTTTCTGCCGCGCTACGCGACATAGCTGCGGCACAATCACTTTTGCTTATCGTAGAGGAACATGTCCCACATACGTTCCCGGTGATAACTCAATTTTCAGATTTTGTGGGTTAGCCGGTTCCCTCGGCCATGCGAACGCGTTCAATTCTCCCTCCGAGCTTATCAACTCGTGATAGCGACCCTCGAAAATTGCCGCAGACGGTCGATGCTCCATGTCTCTACACGCCCGCGTTTCCTGCCTCATACAGTACATACGCATTGTCTAATTCTTCCTTTTTTTCATTCACAGATCGCGTATGCACCCACAACTAAGGACGCAATTTCTGTTTAACCGGCATACATGTGGTAATGCGAAAATACCAGGTAATGCAATTCGTCGACTCGATACGCCATGAGACACTCTATGATGTCATCGAGGTTCCCAGGATATCGGAGAGATTCAATAAAATCATCGTCGATTAAACCGATTTATCAAGAAGGTTTCTATCGTCACGACTTTCATGTGTTTTCGTAGTATTTATTTCATAGTCTTTCTTCTTTTTTCGTTACATAAACTCGAATGCGCAATGTTAGGCGCGACGTCTGGCGGTTTTAACGCGAACTTTCCGGCACTTTGATGTCATCGAGGTTTCGAAGATGTTGGCGGGATTCAATAAAAAAGGCAAGACCGATTTATCAAAAAGGTTATTATCGTCACGAATTTCATGTGTTTTCGTAGTATTAAAACGAGCGCTAGTGTTTTCTTCTTTTTTCCATTACATGAACTTAAATGCGCAATGTTAGGCGCGATGTTTGGCGGTTTTAACGCGAACTTTCCGGCACTTTGATGTCATCGAGGTTTCGAAGATGTTGGCGGGATTTAATAAAAATGGCGAGACCGATTTATCAAAAAGGTTATTATCGTCACGAATTTCATGTGTTTTCGTAGTACTAAAACGAGCGCGAGTGCTTTATTCTTTTTTCGTTACATAAACTCGAATGCGCAATTTAAGCGCGACGTCTGTCGTTTTTAACGCGAACTTTCCGGCACTTTGATGCCATCGAGGTTTCCCAGATATCGGAGAGATTGAATATAATCATCTTCGATTAAACCGATGTATCAAGAAAGTTACAATCGTTATGATTTCCATGTCTTTTTGTAGTACTAAAAGAGCGCCAGTGTTTTCTTCTTTCTTCCATTACATAAACTTAAATGCGCAATGTTGGGCGCGACGTCTGGCGGTTTTAACGCGAACTTTCCGGCACTTTGATGTCATCGAGGTTTCGAAGATATTGCAGGGATTCAATAAAAAAGGCGATGAACCCGATTTATCAAAAAGGTTACTATCGTCACGACTTCCATGTCTTTCCGTAGTATTACACGAGCGCGAGTGTTTTTTTTTTCCTTTACATAAACTTAAATGCGTAATGTTAGGCGCGACGTCTGTCGTTTTTAACGCGAACTTTCCGGCACTTTGATGTCATCGAGGTTTCGAAGATATCGCAGGGATTCAATAAAAAAGGCGATGAGACCGATTTATCAAAAAGGTTATTATCGTCACGAATTTCATGTGTTTTCGTAGTATTAAAACGAGCGCTAGTGTTTTCTTCTTTTTTCCATTACATGAACTTAAATGCGCAATGTTAGGCGCGATGTTTGGCGGTTTTAACGCGAACTTTCCGGCACTTTGATGTCATCGAGGTTTCGAAGATATCGCAGGGATTCAATAAAAAAGGCGATGAACCCGATTTATCAAAAAGGTTACTATCGTCACGACTTCCATGTCTTTTCGTAGTACTAAAACGAGGGCGACTGTGTGAAAGTTTCAGACAGTTTTATGCAACACCCTTAAAAAAATTGCCTTATTCGAGTCGACTGATTTGAGGGGGTTTCACACAACCTTAAGAGCGAGGTTGGTCATTTTTACCGCAATCTTTCCCGCATTCTCCGTCGTCCACTGGAACGCGGGCCGCATTCAAATCGCCGTTATCCGCGTTCTCGCTTTCTCCACCGAGAGAATTCCTCGTAAATTCTAATACTTACACCGACCTCGCGCGATCGTTAATAGTTATTTAACCCTCTATGGGCCGAATTTTTCATTAAATAAAAAAAAAATTGGGGGAACGAAAAATCAGCAATTAGGAACCTATATATGCAAATGAAAAAAAAAATTTTCATTTAAATTGTGACCTGAAAGTTACACGGGCCCATAGAGGGCTAACGTCAGTTTCATTCAATGTCAACATCACATTCAGGTTTCCTCCGTGTACGCCCTTTCCCACCCCAATCAATTATAATAGTTTAACGTCATTAATCCCTGATCTCTCATTCACCGTTCCAGATCTCCCGGAAGTGGAGTACCTCGGTACTCCGCATGGCCAGTCAGGTGTTCCCCACCTTCAGTCTGCAAACAATCCCCTTATGTAACTCAGTTTTATCACCTGTTAAGGCGAAGTGAAACCCTCTTCAAATCAGTCGATTCGAAGACAACACTTTTTTTTAAGGGTATTGGACCAAACTGTCCGAAACTTTGAAACATGACTCGTGATCATCTAAGAATTGTCCTGACACATTTAAAATTTGGATTTTTTAAAAGAATTTTTTAACTCGACCCAGCCCAGAACCAAAATGACGTCGAGCTCTCATACATTTCGATGAATATACAATTATTGAAGGGTCTGATATGAGAATCGAAAGAGTCAGGACAATTTTACGACAATTTAAAACACTCTGGTAATCGATAAACTCGCGTTTGAACGGGATAAAGGCAAAAAAAGTGTCTTATGCGTTTCTATGCCAAAACGATGGGAACACGAGGTCTCGAAGTGAAAATTTAATTGCCCTGGAAATCACAGATGGCGTAGGGGGTCCCTCTGCAGTCAATTAGGGCCTCAGAAAGCTCAGGACTATTTTATGACAATTTATAACACTCTGCTAATCGATAAACTCGCGTTTGAACGGGATAAAGGCAAAAAAAGTGTATTATGCGCTTCTATGCCAAAACGATGGGAATACGAGGTCTCAGAGTGAAAATTTAATCGTCCTGGAAATCACAGATGGCGCAGGGGGTCCCTCTGCTGTCAATTAGGGCCCCAGAAAGCACGAGTCCAGAGGATTTCTGGAATTTTACTTCGATTTCTTTATAATCATTGTACGAAAACGACAGGTGGAGTATGCCATTTGGTACAATACCCAATATAATCCGACCCAGCTGTCAATATAAAAATGAACGTCGGCAACGTGGGTATAGAAAAATCTTCTTTACCGGCGTCGATCAAGTTCCTCGACGCGTTTCAGTTCACCTTAATGGTCGGAGGTTCGCCTGGTGACCTCCGGTCGGTCGGCCATCTAGGTCACCTACATCGGCCACGTACTCCTCGACTTACCGCGGCATAATTGAAGAATGACGAGGACGGCGCACCACGCCAGAAGACGCGTCATCCTTCCGCTGGTCCCGCTCTAGTCCTGCGACATGCCGACCGACGTGGTACCGGAACAGCCACTAGCACCACAGACACGAACCAAGATGCCCCTTACCGACCCAGCGACTCCGTAAGGTGGGACATCCCTCGGTGGGACACCTCGTAGAGCCCCCAAGAGCCCTTAAGGGACCCGAAGACCGACACACCGTATCCGTCGCGCGTTCAGGAGGCGCGCATCTTCTTTACCGTCCTCTTTTCGACTTTCCTCTTCTGGGTGCGCCTCTCGGATCTCTCGGGCCAGCGTTTCACATGTTTGCCGCGCCGTCGTCCGCGCTGGACTGCGGAGGAGACCCAGAGGTGGCCCCGACTTCCTGCGCGGGATCTTCGATAGGAGCCCCACCCGGCTCCGAACGCCGAGGAAAGAGGAAAGAGAAAAGAGTTATCGGGCCTCGAACGAGTGACGTCACCTCTGCCAGCCAATACCGGGACCGAAAGGGACTGACTCGACGTCTAGTGTATACGTACTTCGGTGGAATATGCGTCACTCGCCCGGGGCCTCTCGCGGTACAAGGACGACGCAGGTGATGCGAGTGCATGCCGTGCACCTGATCCGTCCGAAATAACTGCAGGCATTTTTTAGTCGGGCTAAACTCCATTCAATAGGGTTTAGCTTGTACACTTTGACTGGGACCGCGACTTCCCTGGTAATACAATATGTTTGTCTATATTTTCTATATATTTAACGAGTATCGTACATTTTCTAAATATTTATTATCTGACATTTGAAATACTTGCAAAATGTTGCAAATGTCTTGCGGTACAAAGACGATGCAGGTCATGCGAATGCACCTGATCCGTCTGAAATAATTGCAGATATTTTTTAACCGGATTAAACTGCAGTGATTAGTGTCTAGCTTGTGCACTTCAACAGGGATTGCGACTTCCCTGGCAGCCCAAAATATTTTTCTTATATTTTCTATGTATTTAACGAGTATCGAACATTTTCTAAATATTTATTACCAGACATTTGAAATACTTGCAAAATGTTGCAAATGTCTTGTGGTACAAAGACGACGCAGGTCATGCGAGTGCACCTGATCCGTCCGAAATAATTGCAGGTATTTTTTAGTCGGTTTAAATTGCTCTGATTAGGGTTTATCTTATGCACTTGAACTGGGGTCGCGACTTCCCTGATAGCACAAAATATTTCTCCTATATCTCGTATATATTTAACGAGTATCGTACATCTTGTAAATATTCATTACCAGACATTTTAAATACTTGCAAAACGTTTCCTTCAGAACATTATTTTTATAATATTTGTATAATATCTGAGATTCTTTAAATACAAAAACCGCACGAACGGGAGTAACCCAATAATATGTAATGTAAGATGAGGAATTGTAATACGTACGTGGGTGGGTCTTCCTCATGATGTGTGGTTAATCAAGCATACAAACACGTTCTATTTTGGGCATCAATGATTACATACCAAGGAGATACTCCAACCGATAGAAATAACCGCGAGTCTAGTAACTTCTTTGATTTTACACCGAAATTAGAGCCATTCGAGAGTAGAAAGCCATTGAACGACAATGAAGAGAAATTTGAGGATCCGGGAGATGCCTTCATCCGAGGGGGTATTCAATCAAGAAATCATGGATTTTAACACTAAACCTACCGATGATATATACCCCCAATACAAATACCATTTAAACCGGTCAATTTGACCCGCCGGTGGTAGGTTTAGTGTTAAGGTGAAGTGAAACACGTCGAGGAACTTGGTCGACGTCGATAAAGATTTTTCTAAATGCCTACGTTGCCGACGTTCGTTTTTATATTGACAGCTGGGTTGAATTATATTGGGTATTGTACCAAATGGCATACTCCACCTGTCGTTTTCGTACAATAATTATAAAGAGACCGAAGTAAAACTAGAATACACTTGGATTCATGGTTTCTGAGGCCTTAATTGACTACAGAGGGACCCCCTGCGCCATCTGTGATTTCCAGGGCAATTAAATTTTCACTTCGAGACCTCGTATTTCCATCGTTTCAACACGGAAGCGCATAAGACACTATTTTTTTATCTTTATCCCATTCAAATGCGAGTTTCTTGATTTTCAGAGTGTTATAAATTGTCGTAAAATTGTCCTGACCCTTTCGATTCTCATATTGGAGCCTTCAATAATTGCATATCGATCGAAATATGAGAGCTCCACGTGATTTTGGTTCTGGTCTGGGCTAAGAAACAATTTTAATACAAAATTCAGATCTTGAATGTGTGAGGACAATTCTTAGATGGTCACGAGTCATGTATCAAACTTTCGGACAGTTTGGTCCAATACCCTTAAAAAAAAGTCTTGTATTTGAATTGACTGATTTGAAGGGAGTTTCACTTCACCTTAACACTTGAAATTACGTGGAGATTAGCTAGAAATCGCAAGCAGAAATTGTTGGAAATCACTAAAACACTGTCACAATTTTAGGGCCGAACGTCACGTATTACCGAATCCCATTGTTGTTTATCATATAACGTCAAAGGCAATTCGCTCTAAACAAAGAAATCCTTTTCACAGATTTCCGAGTGAATAGCCCCTCACCTTGATCAGGGAATAAGGTGTCTTTTTAGTCTTTGCGAAACAATGGGGGATGGACGATTTGGTGTTCAATTCTGATGGAGTATGGCACGTCGTACTTGGAAACTGTGTCGCGACCTCGTCGTCCAGTCTTCAAAATACTTTCCATGAGTTCTTGCTTATAGGACCTCCACCTGCTCGCAAAAGTGTCAGTAAATTAAAGTGAAGTCAGGTGAAGGAACACGTGGAGGAACTTGATCGGCGTCGGTAAAGAAGATTTTTCTAGATATGTTGCTGACGTTCGTTTTTATATTGACAGTTGGGTCGAATTATATTGGGTAATGTATTAAATGGCATACTCCATCTGCCGTTTACGTACAAGAATTATAAAGAAATTTAAGTAAAACTCGATCTTTTTATAATTGGGTCGAATTATATTGGGTATTGTACTAAATGGCATACTTCATCTGTCGTTTTCGTACAATAATTATATTGGGTATTGTACTAAATGACATACTTCACTTGTCGTTTTCGTACAATAATTATAAAAAAATCGAAGTAAAACTCGATTTATTTATAATTGGGTAGAATTAAATTGGGTATTGTACTAAATGGCATACTTCATTTGTCGTGTTCGTACAATAATTATAATGAAATCGAAGTAAAACTCGATTTATTTATAATTGGGTAGAATTAAATTGGATATTGTACTAAATGGCATACTCCATCTGCCGTTTACGTACAAGAATTATAAAGAAATTTAAGTAAAACTCGATCTTTTTATAATTGGGTCGAATTATATTGGGTATTGTACTAAATGGCATACTTCACTTATCGTTTTCGTACAATAATTATAAAGAAACCGAAGTAAAACTCGATTTCTTTATAATTGGGTCAAATTAAATTGGGTATTGTACTATATGGCATACTCCATTTGTCGTGTTCGTACAATAATTATAAAGAAATCGAAGTAAAACTCCAGAAATCCCCTTGATTCATGATTTCCGAGGCCCTAATTGACTGCAGAGGGACCCCCTGCGCCATCTATGATTTCCGTGTCAACTAAATTTTCACTCCGAGAACTCGTATTTCCATCGTTTCAACACGGAAGCGCATAAGACACTATTTTTTTTATCTTTATCCCATTCAAATGCGAGTTTCTTGATTTTCAGAGTGTTATAAATTGTCGTAAAATTGTCCTGACCCTTTCGATTCTCATATTGGAGCTTTCAATAATTGGATATCGATCGAAATATGAGAACTCGACTTCATTTTGGTTCTGGTCTGGGCTAAGTTAAGAAATTTTGTTAAAAAATCCAAATTTTAAAAGTGTCAGGAGAATTCTTACATGATCATCAGTCATGTGACAAAGTTTCGGAGAATTCGATGCAATACCCTTAAAAAAATGTGTTTTTCGAATCGACCTATTTGAGGGGGGTTTCACTTCATCTTAATACGTTGAAGAGACCGAAATGTGGTTCGTTCGGATCCCTGTTCGTACCTTCGGTTCTGGACGAAGGTGTCCAGCAATTGTTCAGTCGTCGGATACTTCGAGTCCAGCAACAATTTAACACACTCCCAAATGTTGGCACGATTGTGGTCCATCAACCAATACCTTGGGATCAAGAAGCATCGGGATGGGGAGGTCGACACCACCCTGCGATTTTGCATCTGTTCACCTGGAACAAGAACAAGGAATTTAACAATTGCGCATTATATTTTTTCAATTTACCTGGTCAAACCAGCGAGATATTAAGTGATTTCATAAATTCCCGGAAAAAGTCTTTCTCGGGGGGAATTTTCATTGTTAATAATTGCATGCCTTAATAAAACAGTGAGAAAGGTCGGGAAAAACCTGATCAATGGTACAGGAGATTGCAGGAATAATTAATTAAATTAACATATGATTCGTCCCGTTGCAGAAGTAAATTCTAGAGTTTTTACAAATTTCTTTTTGGAATTTATGGAACAGCCTTTGGCGGCTCGCTGTAAGGGACCAAAGAGCAATGGCACATGGAAATCACGCTTTTGACATTAAATCGGAGCCACCCAAGATAGTGGTTCGACAAACTTTTAGTTTACGTAGATTAATTTGCGTAAGGCATAAATCAACGCAGATGTGTACCATGTTTACATTGTTATAAACTTGGAAAATTACGATGTTGAAGAGTTTCGCAAAATGTAAGGGGCAATCCATCTTTTTTGTTTGCTACAGACATTTGTATATTTGATACCATCTTTCCGAATAGTCACGAACTGCCACTGGGAACAGCCCAATAATTGTCAACGTTATCGAGTGTTTATCCCAGGCTGTAAGATGGCGGAGCTCCGCTAAAACGCGGGAATCTGGAAAAACAGGAAGTGAGACAGGAACTGGGTCCAAGCAACGATAATGTGCCGGCCCAGGCGGACTGATACAATCCCTTTCGCTGCAGATGTTGTTTCTCCGCCCTAAACTATCTCCTGGTGCCTCCCATTTATTCAAATCGACTTTCTCCGAATATTGATAATCACTTATCGACGGACCCCCGAACAGATACATGGAAGTTCCCGGCGTCCCTATATTGTACTTGGAAATTTGTATGAACACTGTTAGATGAAGTGGATCCCAGCAAACATGTTCTGTAATTTTGTTCTATAATGTAATTGTTCTACAATAAAAGAACAACGGGGCTCTATAATAGTTATTGCTGAGTGATATACTCGGTTTCTAACATGAAGGTTACAATGTTTCTATGACACTGTTACTATTTAATGATATGACAGTTCCATAATAATTATGTAATTGCAACAGTTTTCAAAAGAATACATGAAAGTTCCCGGCGTCCTTATATTGTACTTGCAAATTTGTATGAACACTGTTAGATGAAGTGGATCCCAGCAAACATGTTCTGTAATTGTTCTAAAATAAAAGAACAACGGTGCTCTATAATAGTTATTGCTGAGCGATATACTTGGTTTCTATCATGAAGGTTACAATGTTTTTATCACACTATTACTGTTTAGTGATATAATAGTTCCATAATGAATATGTAATTGGAACAGTTTTGTTGTAATGGGACAGATATATGTAACAGATACATGGAAGTTCCCGGCGTCCCTATATTGTACTTGGAAATTTGCATGAATACTGTTACAGGACAGGGGTCAGGACAATGTTATGACAATTTATAACACTCTGGTAATCGATAAACTCGCATTTGATCGGGATAAAGGCCAAAAAAGTGTTGTATGCACTTCTATGCTAAAACGATGGGAATACGAGGTCTCGGAGTGAAAATTTAATTGACCTGGAAATCACAGATGGCGCAGGGGGTCCCTCTGCAGTCAATTAGAGCCCCAGAAAGCATGAATCCAGAGGATTTCTGGAGTTCCACTTCGATTTCTTTATAATTATTGTACAAAAACGACAGGTGGAATATGCCATTTGGTACAATACCCAATATAATTCGACCCAGCTGTCAATATAGAAACGAACGTCGGCAACGTAGGCATTTAGAAAAATCTTCTTTATCGACGTCGATCAAGTTCCTCGACGTGTTTCACTTCACCTTAAGGATGTTGGGCCTCACCTAACCCGAAGCAGGCGCCTCTGGTGAACTTGCAAATTTGCATGAACACCGTGTAAACGTTCTGCGGGTATTCTTGCTGGGAAAGGGTCGAGGGCTCCCTCATTAACGCCGCTGCGACTTCGGTGATTTCATGCCATTGAGTCACCTGAAGAATTTTAGGAACTATTTAGAAAATGGTCATTTACCCCACACAGGTGCACTGGCTACCTGGGGGAAATTCGGAATTACTGGATAATTAGGGATCCGCAATTAGGACTTACGACGTCTAGCAATGTCGTGGTCACGATGCTCATCCTCTCGGGGTCGATTTTCCCAGGGTGTCGGTTGGAGAGGAGCGCCTTGGTGTAGTTCGTTTCGAATTTCTCTCCCTCGGTTGCTTCGGCTTCCTGATAATTGAAAATCACTTAGAAATAATCATTACGGCGAATAATAGGTAGTGATGGGACTGGTACGATACTTACTGATAATATTGCATTAATTCAATTCTCTGGTATTTACTCCGAGGTATCGAAAATAGATCAAAAATGAAATACTCGATTTCATTCGAAGATATTTTAAATATTTTCAAGACGTTTATAATGTATTCGGCAGATAATATTTAAAAAATACTTGTATTTAAAATGAAACGAAATGTTTTGTATATCTGGTAGAAAAGTATTATGAAAACACGTGGAGCTAATATTGTATAAATATTATAGAGATAATATTCTAAAGTAAACGTTTGGTAAATATTTCAAATGTCTGCTAAATATTTACAAAATGTACGATATTCGTTAAATATATAGAGAATATAGGAGAAATATTTTGTCCTACTAGGGCAGTATTTGAAATGGAAAAAATTTGCCGGAAGCGAATGTGTTAAGATATTGATATTTTACTGATCGGAATATATACCGATCGCGAGGTATTATTTCCAATGCTAACAATAGGAGTCCTAATTTTACCTGACTTTGCACGTACTTCCGATCTTTCGTATCTTCTTCGGGAAGATATTGATATTTTACTGATAGGAATCGATACCGATCGCGAGGTATTATTTCCATCACTAACAATAGGAGTCCCAATTTTACCTGACTTTGCACGTACTCCAGATCCTTCGTCTCTTTTTCGGGAAGATATTGATATTTTACTGATAGGAATCGATACCGATCGCGAGGTATTATTTCCAATGCTAACAATAGGAGTCCTAATTTTACCTGACTTTGCACGTACTCCAGATCCTTCGTCTCATCTTCGGGAGGCCTTCTGCTGATTCTCTTAGGCCTGTACTTCGAGGTCTCCTTGGTTTTATCAGTATTGTATAATTGATATTGAGAAGAATGTCTGAATCCCTTCTCTCGAACATTTAAATGCTCTATGAGTCGACACTCGCCGGATAAGAGGAAGTACACGTAATTCACCATGCCCTTACCATCGCCTAGTAGGACCTTTACAAGATATAACAATTAGGATCCATTTTTTCATTAGCTTATAAATCATTTATTTATAGAGTAATTTAACCTCGCCAGGGTCGTAATCCTTCACTTTTCCGAGGATGCAACATTCTCGAATCGTGACCTCGTCCCAGCCCTTGAAATAGTCGAAACTGATCATCGCGTCCTGTAGGATACTCCATTCTTCCAAAAGCGTATTCCTGAGGATCCTGTTGAAGTCCTCTCCAGGCAAATAGAGCAGATCCATCGAGGCTAAACAATTTCCAAAAAGAGATTAATCACGCTCCTAGTAGCACAAAATATTTCTCCTATATTTTCTATATATTTAACGAATATCCTCCATNTAAAATCTGCAAGAAATCATAAAAAATCTGTCGCTCGAGATACTTAGCAAAGATTACAAAGAAATATTTACAAATTATTCTATGCTACTAAGGGCGAGTCTTACCAAATCTGACAGAAATTAAAATTTAATCAATTGTTAAATATACGTTCCCTACTTTTGCTCACTGCGGTCGCTTTCCTCGGTAAACTGTGCAACAATGCAATTTCTCCAAACATGTCGCCTGGTCCTAGCATGCCCATGTCGATGTCCATGGAGTCTCCTGTAGGATAAACAATGGTCTGCCTCAGTTTATTATAAAAATGAAACCTTTAAGGTGAAGTGAAACACGTCGAGGAACTTGATAGACGTCGGTAAAGAAGATTTTTCTTTGAATTATATTGGGTGTTGTACTAAATGACATACTTCACTAATCGTTTTCGTACAATAATTATAAACAAATCGAAGTAAAACTCGCTTTCCTTATAATTGGGTCGAATTATATTGGGTATTGTACTAAATGGCATACTCCATTTGTCGTGTTCGTACACTAATTATAATGAAATCGAAGTAAAACTCGATTTGTTTATAATTGGGTAGAATTAAATTGGGTATTGTACTAAATGGCAAACTCCATCTGTCGTGTTCGTACAATAATTATAATGAAATCGAAGTAAAACTCAATTTGTTTATAATTGGGTCGAATTATATTGGGTATTGTACTAAATGGCATACTTCACTTGTCGTTTTCGTACAATAATTATAAATAAATCGAAGTAAAACTCGCTTTCCTTATAATTGGGTCGAATTATATTGGGTATTGTACTAAATGGCATACTCCATCTGTCGTTTTCGTACAATAATTATAAAGAAATCGAGTTTTACTTCGATTTCTTTATAATAGGGTCGAATTAAATTGGGTATTGTGCTAAATGGCATACTCCATCTGTCGTTTTCGTACAATAATTATAAAGAAATAGTGTTAGCTTTGGTGCGCTATTATTTCGGTTAATTTTATTATATTAAATATCTGGAGAAGGTTTCAGCACGAACCCGTGATGCTATCTTCGACAGATCTGCAAATAGCAGCCTCGCCTTTTACAATGTAATAAACGGCCCATGCCTCGTGGTTTTGGCGAACAATTGTTCTGCCAGGTCCTAAATACTGGTACATGCAAACCGTGGCGAAGGTGTCGCGAAAATTCTCCGAATATCTCTTGAATGCCCCCAAGCTCTTCAGCAATTGGGATATGTAGGCTCTGGTCTCTCTCGTCCTCTCAGCTGGATGTATCAACAATTGAGACCGATCCTTGGGATTCAGAAATAATATTCATCATTTTATAACGAAGAAAGAGTATTCATAATTTTATGACGAAGAAATAATATTCATAATTTTATGACGAAGAATATAATATTCTTAATTTTATAACGAAGAAATAGTATTCATCATTTTATAACGAAGAAAGAGTATTCATAATTTTATGACGAAGAAATAATATTCATAATTTTATGACGAAGAATATAATATCTAACTATTGTCAAGTACCAAAAAATAATAAAAAATAAAAAATTGTATAATTTTGGATAAAATTGCGTGATCTTTTTTTAAATGTTTGAAAAATGAATACTATTTTAAGGTAAATAAAATTATAACATTAATATAACATGTTACCTTACCCAGTGGGAAATAATAACTAACATCTAACTTCCATGTTACTTTTATGCTACATAACGTGTTAGTTTCAAAAACGTAACATTTACCCAACAGTTATATAACAGTGTTCACTGGGTAGTATTCACAATTTTATAACGAAAAAGTTATGCACATTTGTTATGAAGTACCTCTAAAGTTAGAGCCCTCTTTTCCGGGTATCTTTTTTGTTGGGTCAGTCTGACATTAATGGCGACATTGTCGCTGATTTCTTCGGTGATTGGCTCGTCCGTGATCCATTCCATGAATTCAAAAACTGCTCGCACGGCCGCACAAAAAAGAAGGCGACCCCTCAACCTACGATGCTACAAATTCGGTTCTCGACCCTTAATTTACAATAATTCTAGTGGTTTTAAGGTGATATGAAAGAGTCAGCCTATATATATCTGAGAGGTCAAATCGTTGGGGAAAGTATTCTCCGAATTGGGTGTACCGATTCGTTTTTCAAATTTTACCACGTGAATATGGAGGCCCTAAAGTAGGTCCTGAAACTCATGAAATTTCACTTTTCATCAAAAAATTAATTTACTGATGGATTAGAACCAACATGGCATAATTCGTGCCAGTTTTTGATGTTTTACTCTTATGGGGGCTTGGAATCGAAAATGAAAAGTTTCAGGACCTAGCTCGAACAATTTAGAATACCGTAGAAATGGAATATTACAGAGTCAGATGGGAAAATATGGAAAATACTTTCATCAACGATTGCAAGAGAATGCTGGCTCGTCTCGGACTAACGCGTGTTTTTAGAGCAAAAATTTAGTTGCAGCTAAACGTCACAGATGGCGACGTTGGTCCTAAACAGTCGTGAGAATAATGAATTCACGGGTTTTCGATAGTTTTACGTCGATCTCTTCATCATTGCATTACTGAAATTACATATGGAACGCTTTAGATCGTATAATTATGAACGTAGAGTGTTAAAGACTTCAATATAAATATAAATATCGGTAACGTGACGCGCCAGGTTTTGTTCCCACTTGTGTATTCAAAATGACGCTCCCACCAAAAGGGGGATAGATGAAATTTAGTTTATTGACCTCGATTAAATTTCTCAGCGCCTTTCATATCATCTTACGACAATGAATAAAGTAAAAAAAAAGGAGTTAGACATTTCTGTTTCCTATGTGTACACTAACCGTTTTCAATCGCGTTACACTTTTCTTTGCAAAGCTTATACTGCTGAAGGATAACCTCAAGGAAGGCTTCTTAAATACTTCAGACATGTTATCGGAAGAATGGTTTTGAAGTTTGATTTGTTAAACTTGACAGACTTTTGAATGATAATGTTAAGCGACTAATTTTTGCGGAATTTTGAAAACTGTTGATCTATAATCAAAGTCATCTCGGAGTATAAACTGAGACAAGCGGTTGAATATTTATGACACGATAAAAATTTGACTGGCAATTCTGACCGAGCCAGTTTTAAAGTATTGCTATCTTCACACTTCATTTCCTTAACCTTATAATTAGATTTTAAATTAAAAGATTTATTTTCCTATACATACAGGGTATTATAAATTAATTTGTTTTGCTTTGATGGTAAATGGTTTTCTCCGAGTCGACGGTATGTTTGATGAGTTCGTTCTCTACATTAGAGAGAACCCAGTTGTGCTCGTAGATCTCCAACGCTTCCCACTCGGACTTAAATGCAGCTTTTGGGTCTGGGGGCATCGACATGGCTGCTCCGGACACTTGATCTTGGAGAAGACGAGACGTATCGGCAGCATTGTTCTCTCCAAGGACGAGGGTGTAGATCGATCTCAACCCAAATACGTTAAGAAAGTACCAAGATGCAGAAGAGACCCACGCAGCATCCAAAGTACTCAACTCGATGCCTCTTTGTAACATAGGCTTGAAGCGTAACGTCAAAGGAAATGGGACCTTGGCTAAAAAGGAATTATTTTAATTGATTAAATACAGTAAATGTAGCAGGGTATACGTCAATGTCTTCCGTGACGATTAAATTTAATCAATGTACTCGTGACAAATCCAGAGAACATCCAGTTAATCCATCCTCCAATGAGAACCATAGGCAGAACATTAGTTACATTCCCCTTCAGCATATCGGTCATCATGCTGGGATCCGTCATAGGATTCTGCGAGACCGCCGCTCTCTTCTGCGTGACAAAGTACCCAGTTTCTTCGTTATTGAAAAACTGACGTCTCATGACGAATCCAGCCTCATGGAGATATTGCCCATTTTCTCTCAGAAGTCTCGAACGAATCATCACCTGGCTACGGTAACAAAATTCCAAAAAACGAAATTTAATACGAATACCATCCTTGAATAAAACATAACGTATGAAACAGGATAATCTAACCTGTCCTGAACTTGCTGGAGCTCAACCTTTTTCTGCGTCGCTAGTAATATGGAAATGTAATGTCGAACGATTCCGACGAAAAATGTGATCACAACAATTGGCAGAAACACCCATCCTCGAATATTTGGATCTAGCAACAATTCGGCCATATTTGTTACACTGAATAGAGATAGCAAACAGAGATAAGTTGGGAGATTGCTCACGGGCAGGGTCGCGCGATCAAACCGTGTACTGCCATCTGATTTCGTACCTTAGCTTTCACCGTTTTTTGCCCCCAAGGGCGGCGCAACAAATTTCTGGTAGGGGCTCGCGCAATCGCGATGGCTGTGCCATCTACCAGTTGCCGTTGGCGGCTCACGTATTCGTGATGGTAACACCATGCGGCAGTTGACGGTGGTGGCTTACCATTATGGCAATCTCCTAACTCATCTCTGCCAAATCAGAGATGAGTTGAGAGATTCACGGGAAGGATCGAGCGACCGCGTCCTGTTCGACCTCCGGTGGAGGATGCAGACGGCTAATGCACTTGCCACCTGTTACAAATCTGGGCAGCCGGAGAACCGGCTGAAAAAGTGAAGAACTCCTCACAAAAACTCCAAAACTCTGTACCTCCTCCGAAAAAAATCGCAGCCACTAGCTCGAGAGATCAATTTAAGCAGAACAATCTTCCCCATCAAGCTAAAAAAGTGATGAACTCCTCACAAAAACTTCAAACCCTGTGTGTCTCCTCCGAAAAAAATCGCAGCCACTAGCTCCTGAGATCAATTTAAACGGAACAACCTTCCCCATCAAGCTACCGTGGACGCAGTTCTCATCGCGACAAAAATTCACAAAGATCCTTTAACATATATTAACATCTTCTACCAACAAGTGCAGAAAGCTCGATTTCGATTAACTGCCCATGATGATTTTACCAAAAATGGCTGCTTCCAGGTGATCCACCTAAACCTGCAAAGGGGCACAAAAGTACAGGTAAAACGGAACATTGAGGAAACACCAGTAAGTCGCCAGATTCTCCGAAGTGGCCCATCTAAAGCTGAAAGGGAACACGAAGGCACAAACGAAACCATTGGAAAGCGAGAAAGAGACGGTGATACAAGTGCTAATAACTTACTAAAGTTACCATTAAAGTCAAGAATATTTCGCAGTGCATCGATCTCGTATAAATGACCCAGTAAAAATGTATTCAATTATACATTATTTGGCGTGATAAAAATCTAATATATTTATCATACTTAAATGCAGACTCGAGAAAATCTCATGGAAACGATAGTTCACCGTCTCTCCCCGTCAATCCGGACAGAAGAATATACAAAAAATGAGAGGGACAACGTGGCGAAAAAGAAATGAATGACTGTCCATTCGAAAGAATGGAAGGCCATCGTAGTTGCCCTCTTCTTAAGGGGCCGCTTCGGCATATAGCCTCTTCGACTCTTGCAGTCTCTTCGGGCAGAGCCCCCTACGTCTCGAACGCTTGGCAATCCCCTGATTTATCGGATTAATAAAAAAAAAAGAAAATCACTCGCGGGGAGATCTAAAAGCTAGCAAAACGGCGACCTGCGATCCGAGGATGCGCAGTCCGTGCGTATTGCACATTTACCCGGATTCCCAAGCGCGATCTAATTAATTTGGATCTCTGAAAGAAAATTAACATAATCGCGGGCGTCCAGGAGTACCCTGAGAAAATAATTTACTTTCCATACTTAAATGAATTATTCGCGGCAAGAATAAGAGGGACAACCCGTTAATATCGGACGGATGTGATTTCCCGAAAACAATTTGACGTTTAAGGTCGGTCGGAAAATTTTCGGAATATTGGTAAAAAATCTATCGCAAGAATTCTATTTTCTGGAAAGTTATTTTTTCTCTCAGCGCAGAGCCGCGGGCGCAGGACGGACATCCTCCGCCCTTCCGGAAGCGCGAACGATGATGTAAAGGTATCCCAGGTTCGGGATCTTCCCCCATACCCCCGGGAAGAGATCCCGCCCTGGCCCTGCCTGCTTACATTTAGACATTCATTCAAGGCAATTAACCTACCTCCCTAGCTATATTAAAAAAAATCAACCTCACTCATTCCAACACATTCACTCCACGATTCTCACTCATTCCACCCGGGGACAAGTAGCCTAATCTAGGGAGGACATCCCGGGATGCCTCCGACCCCCGAGCTCAAATCTCTCACATGTATCATTCATCGATCGCCATCGTTACTTGAATTTAAACAAATTGAATGGATGCGTGAAATTGAAATCAAGATGGCAACCGAAGGTGCTTACATAATTTTTTTTACCACGTCCTCTGGCCCTGAACCGTTCGACTCCTCCTGGAGGCGTCGAAGGGCGGGGGCCAGGACGGAACGCGGCCAGAAGAAGGGACACCTACCTTTGACGCCGCTGAAAGAATCCTAGCTAGGTTAATTTTCATAACGCTAAATCGAGCTACCGACTCTACTCGACTTTGATCGTTCACAATTTCAATAAGATCGAAAGGCCAAGCCCAGCTCGCACTACGGCCCCAGGGCAGTGGAAGGCTTGGCCGAAAAAACCTGGAATCCCTGAAGTTGACTCCTTCATCGAGGCGGCGACTCTAAGGCGCAGGCACATCGAAGTGCCACCTCGATTCGAATTCAACTCCTCGCGAGTCACTTCTCCCAAATCTTTTTTTATTTTTTTTATTCAATTATTCGTAGAAATTCCGCGGAACCGGCGGCCTCGAAGTCGGAGGGTCATCCGACTTCCCCGGCGCTCGATTAAGTATCGCGATCGGAAAATTACCGCGGACCCGGGAGAAATCTATTCCTACTCTAAGAGAACACACGAAAAACATATAAAATGAACACGACCACTCGCGAGTCGGCGAGAGATGATCTCGTCGACTCGCGGTCCCTCGAATAAAAATATAAACATACAACCGGCCTCCGTGCCGGTACGGACCTTTTGTCCTGCGGCATGAGGAGACCGGAGGAAGTTGAAATTCCGACTCACCAACTGGACAATACGTCTTTTTCTGGCGGTACTCCCCCAGGAGATCCCTCCGCAGAGACCTGGGGTTTCTGGCCTCCTCTCCATCTGCACCTCCGGCCCGATGATGGAACTGGCTGCATGCTTTTACTGCCTTCGTTGAATTCCTTTTCTTTCTTTGAATTCCTCTTCTTTCGTTGAGTTCCTCTTCTTTTGCTGAGTTCCTCTCCCTCCGTTGAATTTCTCTTCTTCCGTTGAGGTCCTTTTCTTTCGTTGAATTCCTCTTCTTCCGTTGAGTTCCTCTTCTTCCGTTGAGTTCCTCTTCTTTCGTTGAATTCCTCTGCCTCCGTTGAATTCCTCTTCTTTCGTTGAGTTCCTTTTCCTTCGTTGAATTACTCTCCCTTCGTTAAATTCCTCTCCCTTCATTGAATTCCTTTTCTTTCGCTGAACGATATGTAATCCGTGGCACTCGCGGACCGTGATCACTGTCGCGTCCCAACCTCATTGTCTTTGCGTACGCATTGTCCTCGCGCCCCCCGACATTTTCTTCATTTTTGACGACATCTTTTCGCGGCAAAATTTCAGGAGCAACTGGCGATCCGCCGGCCGGGCCGCAATCCCCGGCCGCGACCCGACTCCGTGATTGGACGACGTCACCGGCCCGGTAAAGGATCGAGTGGTCGACGTCACCGGCTCGATAAAGGATCGATTGGTTTATCGGGCCGGTGACGTCGTCCAATCACGGAGTCGGGTCGCGGCCGGGGATTGCGGCCCGGCCGGCGGATCGCCAGTTGCCCCTAAAATTTTGCGGCGGTAAGATGTTAAAAATTAAGACAATGTCGGGAGGCGCGAGGACAATGAGTACGCAACGACAATGAGGTTAGGACGCGACAGTGATCACGGTCCGCGAGTGCCATGGATTAAATATCGTTCAGCGAAAGAAAAGGGATTCAATGATGGGAGAGGAATTTAACGAAGGGAGAGTAATTCGACGAAGGGAGAGGAACTCAACGAAAGAAGAGGAATTCAACGGAGGCAGAGGAATTCAGTGAAAGAAGAGGAATTCAGCGAAAGAAGAGGAACTCAACGGAAGAAGAGAAATTCAACGGAGGGAGAGGAACTCAACGAAAGAAGATGAATTCAGCGAAAGAAGAGGAACGCAGCGAAAGAAGAGGAACTTCGCGGAGGCAGTAGAAGCATGCAGCCAGTTCCATCATCGGGCCGGAGGTGCAGATGGAGAGGAGGCCAGAAACCCCAGGTCTCTGCGGAGGGATCTCCTGGGGGAGTACCGCCAGAAAAAGACGTATTGTCCAGTNCCGCGGCTTTCATTACGGAGGAGCCTCCTCTCGCACCTTAACCCTTCGACCACCGAACCATTTCGACATACGGGCGAAATTCCTCTGACCGTGCAGGCAATATTGGACCAAACGTCGGACGCCCTTAGGCGCCTTTAGTAGCCGAAGGTATCAATAGTGGCATCGAAATAACAAATGATCTAGGGTGTAAATCTCTACGGGGATTTTTTTCATGGTAGGGGGGACTCTCCTCTCCCTTCTCGCGACGCCGTTCCTCTCGGCTCGGCTCGTATCCGCGAGGCATATTTAATTGCTCCGCGGCTTTCATTACGGAGGAGCCTCCTCTCGCATTACCGCTGAATGGCCGCGCGCGCGAGGAGATAGGGAAGCGTCGGGTTGGGTTGCCTCGAGTTAGCTAGTTAGCCGCTCGCCCGGGAGGGGTTGGCTCAGCTTTGAGGTTAGGTTGCAGTCGAGCCGCCATTGTTTACCGGCGCGGGGGAGGACTCGGGGAAAAATCCGGATCGGCGAGGCCACTTATCGCGGACGCGACATCCGCGGCGGCTGATTTTTGCGGCCCACCGGAAGGGGCCTTCCGCTTCGGGACTTTCCCCTGGAGCCGATCTCCCGTTGGCCGACCCCTCCCTCCCCCCTCCCTCTTTCCCTCACCCCTTATCGCGGCCGCTGATATCAACGGGGATTTATTGCGTCGCCTTTCCCATTCCGCTCGGTCAGGCTTTTCAAATCTCCCGCCTCGAATTCGACGCTCAAACTTTTCCGGAACCGTTCCACGCTGTTAAAAAAAAAAAAAAAAAAACTCGATGCGTGAGGTGAAACTTTTATAAATTAAGGTGACATGAAAGCGTGACATGTGCATGACAAAAAGTCAATATGTTTATGAGAACTTTTTCGACAAACTGGGCGCAGCGAATTATCTGAACACTAACGCGTGATTGTGGA